CCAGTGGAGCCCGTTGGCTTAGAGCGTGGTGCTGCCATCTTTCTGCAGCTGCTAGTGTGCCTGTGAATAATACAAACGTGCCAACAACAGGACCCGCGAGTGGTCGTGAAACATGAGAATTCAAAGGAACAGGTGTTGGGATCGGGCAAACCAAACACGCATGCACGTGCACATGAATATGCGCGCAAGAACTCAAGCAAGCAGCTGCACACAGGCTGAGACGCACACGTGTTCACACACACGCATACACACACGCACGCACGCATACGCACCTGCACTGGCGCTTTCCACAGGTGTCGTCTCCATCTACACTGTCACCGTAATCGAAGGTGGCTCCTCTGAAGATCCCACTGGATACGTCCACAGCACAGCAGATGATGTGTCTTGTCACACGCGTTACCGCCACCAGCATCGCTGCAGCCTTCGTCATGCCAGTCGTTTCAGGTAACCGCAACATCTCAACCTCCTCTTTTCATTGTCATCACCACCACCCATCATCGTCGTCGTCGTTTGGCGCACTTTGAAGCGGCTCCCGACACCACAAATTTTTCAGTCACCGTTGCGCACATGCGGCTGTCGATTTGGCATTCACCACTCAACGCTCTCACGTTGACAAAACCGCGACCATGAACGCCGCAGCTGCAACCATCGAGGATGGGCAGGTGAACGCGCCCCCGCACGTGCCAACGCCTGCCGTGAACACGTAAGCGGCAATCCGTGCATGCGCTGTTGCTTCGTCCACGAACAAGCGTTTCTGTGTGCGGATGTAGGATTTGGTCATCGTTGTGCAGCAGCTGTTGTTGTTGTTGCGACTGTTGCGCATCTCAAAGCGCTTTCCCACTGGCCGCTGTTGCGCATGCCCGTCTGGTGTCCACATCACTGCCTGCTCACATGGCCATCTGCTTGCAGCACCAGGAACAAGTGGCGGTGGGATTCCAGCGACTCCAGTGATTCCAGTGATTCAAGCGACACCAGCAGTTCAAGCGACACCAGCAGTGACACCAGCAGTGACACCAGCAGTGACGATGAGGTGCGCAGCCACAGCCTGCATGTCACGCCCAATGTGTGTGTGTGTGTGTGTGTGTGTGTGTGTGTGTGTGTGTGTGTGTGTGTGTGTGTGTGTGTGTGTGTGTGTGTGACAGTGCGATGAAAGATGACACTGAGAAACGACAACAACATCAAGTCCACGTCTCGCATTCTCAACAAATGTGAACGCCCACGACCATACAAACACACCACAAACTACATCCAACCACACCCCAATCGCATGATCGCATGCACATCTGTGTCTCACATACCTTGCATTCGCGCTGTCACCTCGCTAGCACACCCGCCGTCGCAGGCGCAAGAGGAGGTCCAGGCACTCAAGAAAGAAGTCCAGGAAATCCAGGAAGAAGCAGAAGAAGAAGCAGAAGAAGAGGTCCAAGACGAAGAAGAAGAAGACGAAGGGCAGGCACCGGAGCGTGCAGAACAAGAAGCGCGCTGCCCTGCGTCATGCTGTTGCCGCCGAGTACAGCTCGTCCTCCAGCCGCGTGCACACCACCGCCCCCATGCGCCCACCTCGCCCCGCCGCTGTTAACCAGCACAATCTCATGCGGATGCCAATGCAAGCTCCAATGCAAGCGCCCATGCACATGCACGCTCCCAAGCAAGCACCGATGCCAATGCACGTGCCAATGCATGTGCCGATGCAAGCCAGCCGCGTCCACACGGCTGTCCCCATGCGACCACCTCCTCACTTCTCTGCCGGCACTGTCAACCAGCGCAATCCCATGCCGATGCCCATGCAAGCGCCAATGCCAGCGTCGTTGCAGGCGTCAATGTGCATGCCAATGGCAATGCAGGTGCAGGGGCACTTGTACGGCAGCACCAGTCACGCGGTCCGTGCAGGCTTCACTCCTGTCACCACAGCCACCCACAACACGAGCTCCAGTTATGTGCGTGCCGCCGCTGTCACTGCTAACCACACCAGCAACCACACCAGCTCTGCTTTCGTGCCAGCTCCCACAGCCAGTACTGGTTACGTGCCTGCTGCTGTCGCCCCAGGCCCCATCACCGCCACCAGCATGACGACGACGTTCAACAAGAACGGGCGCAGTTCCAAGGGGACGAATGCGAGCGCTGGACAGCAGCTTGATCGCAGCAACGGCGCCGCCAAAGCCAAGGTCAGCCTGACACACACATGCACGCATATGCACACACATGCGCACACACACACAAACACAGGTGCATTTGGTGTCGGTGTGAGCAAAGGTGCAACGAGGTCAAGTCAGACACAATCGCACACTGCACACACACACACACTGCACACACACACACACACACAACTGCAAACACAACAAACCCCAAAGCACGTGTGCTGCACTCCACACTCACATCGCACCTGCTTGCGCGTGGATGTCACCAGGCTGGCCGTTTCTGCCACAAAGACGATGGTGGACAGCAGTGCAAGCACGTGCAGCCGGCACCACCACCAGCCACGACAGACGCCCTGCTCAAGATGGTGCTCGCTGGCAACCTTGGTGGCGGCCGTGCAGACTTCATGTGCTCAGACGGCCATGCTGAGACAGCGACGATGCTTGAGCTCTTCGCAGCCGCGCTGGCAGAGTCACAGGGCACAGAGGCCGTCCCAGACCACCACCACCACCGGCCCAACACGCTTGTAGATGTGCACATGAGGAAAGCACTGCTCGGCGATGCAGTGCGGTGTTCAAGCATGCGGCCGTGCATGGTTGAGCTGAAGGCGCGGGCTGCCATGTGGATGATGAACGTGTTGCAGCACATGCCACCAAGCACCACCAGCAAGAACAACGACGACGGCGACAGCGCCGATGGTGGAGACATGCTGGTGGTGTGAGGGAGAATCGAAGCGAGGGGGGAGGGGGCGGTGACGTGTTGGCTGATGGTGCTGCTGGCGGTCGATGGCATTCCGTTGCGGTGGTTGGTGATTGCGATGAAGGGATCCGAGAGGTGTGCATGCACGATGGGGTGTGTTCGCATGCCACTTCCGGCGTTCTTGTGCCTGTTGCTTGATCGCACATGTCGCTTGTCCGTCACTGTCGTTGGTGTCGTAGTTATCGATGTCAACCGTTGCTGGTGCTGGTGCTGTGTGCGTGGATGTGCTTGTGTGTTCGTGTGGATGTCGTGGTTCGGCTGCAGTGCTAGTACTGCGTCTGTGGGTGCGTGTGCTGCTGTTGTTTGCTGCCGAGGTTGATGACCTTCATCTCACTGATGATGCCACTGTTGTCGGTGCGATTGTTGCCATGACTATCACTGTGCTGCTTTGTGTCACTCCACGTCTTTCCATTCAGCCGGTGGCGATTGTTGCAGGTGATTTGTGCCGCTTGTACATGTGTCATCGTGTTCGCATCTGCCAATGGACGACAATGTGTCAGAACACGTGCATTCAGGGGAGGCGGGGTGAGACGGTGTAGAGAAGCGTGGCACAACGCAACAGTGCACACACACACACACACACACATACCCGCACGCACGCACACGCACGCACACGCACGCACACGCACACACACACGCACACACACACACACACGCGCGCGCGCTGCTTTAACTGAGTTATGTGTAGGACACAAGGACGAAAAAGGACAAAATTCACTCCCGGTCACCAACACGTCAAACGTCAACCTCACCTGTTGAAATATTGAAAAGGCGCCGAACAGCAACAGGAACACATCACTGTCCTCCTCGCCCACAACAATCATCCACACCACCCACCGCCACCATGTAGGACGTGGCACAAGTGCCGCTTGCAGGGCTTTTCAGCCACCCTCAATCAGAAGTCCTGCCACACACGTAAGGAGCAGTGGACAGCGTGGCTTGGGTGCTGGTGTGGCGTGCGCGTGTGAATGCTGCCTGCGGTTCACGATTGCAAGCGTCATGGTATCACTTGGCTGTAGGGGCGGGGGCCTGTTGGTGCACATCATCTCACCACCTGTCTCGCCCTCCACACCATCACAACTCACGCTGCTGCTGTTGCTGCTGCTGCTGTTGCTGCCTGTCACATTCAGCTTGCACCACCACCTTCATCTCCATCACCCATCAGACACGAGTGCCAACAAGATCACGACGGCCACCAAGAAGTCGACGACGATGATGATGGAGGTGAAGGCGCCAGCGACGAAGAACGAGGCAGCGGCTCTGCTCCCGGCTGTTGCAGTAGAAAGGTGTTCGTCACACCACCAGCATCCCCATCATCGTCGTCATCAGCGTCACCAGCACCACGCCATCATGACAACGACGACGGTGGTGGTGATCGTGGTGGTGGTGGAAGGTGTCCAGACAGCCGTCCAATACAGCGAAGCTATGACTGCCACCATTGGGCAAGTGCACTACGCAGTAAGCACTCGCATCACTTCAAGCACGCACGTCGCTGCCATCTTCGTCTTCACTCTGGTGAGGAAACAAAACAAACAGCATGCATGCATGCACGCATGATGATGATGATGATGATGATGATGGTGGGTGTGGTCATGGAATGGCATGAGCAACAGGGGAAGGGAGAAGCGGCAATGAATGCTGTGATAGCAAAGCCGTGTGATAGCAAAGCCATGACTTGACGCGACAACACATACACACACGCATGCTGGTGTCAGCCACGCACGCACACACACACACATACATTCACATATGCATTCACACGTGTGTGCATACTCACGTCTCTCGCCTGCATGTGCGTGATCCCATAATACATGGTCTTCCCTGGGCGTCACCATCATCACCACCACCACCATCACCAACCGCAACACCCATGACGCAGTATCAGTAAATTTGTGACCATCTCATCTCTTCGCAGTGACCGCAACACTGGCTGGGGCGGTGCTGGGACAGATGTTTGCTCTGCCATCACCACCATCACCACCACCATCATCACCATCACCAGCAGCATCAGTGAAGATAGACGGTGATGATGGTGATGGCGACCGCGCTCGTGTTGAGGTGGAGATGCAGCGGGTCATGCACTTCCAATGACGCAACCCAAAGCCACCGCCACTCTGGCAGTGACCGCCACCACCATCACTATCACCGCATGTGTAAACCATCAACGCGTGTGCTGTCATCGTCTCAACACCGCAGCCATGAAAGCGGTGATCCAAAGCACTCATGGTACCACCCCTGTCGTCTTCCTAATAGCCATCAGCCACACAGGCACGCGCTGCTGCTGCTGTTGTTGTTGCTGTTGCTGCTGCTGCTGTCGTGAAAATACCTCTGCTCTCACACACATATGCGCGTGTGCATGTCCTTGTCACCGGCCTAACCGCCACTGTGTCCCTGCGGTCACCACAATCGCGCTTGAGCATGTGTTGCTGCTGTCATGGTTGTTATGTTCATGTCGCGAGCACTCGACTCCATCTTCGTCTCTTGCTGCTGCTGTTGGTGTATGTGGCGCTGTGTGCTGCCACGTGCGTTGCTGTCGTGGTTGACATCATCAACACATCCACACGTTCGTGCTGTGGTCGCAGTGCCCGCTCCTGCTTCAACACACACACACACACGAACACACGCGCGAGAGAGTGTGAGTGAACATTGGCACATAGCCGGTGCACACACGTGTGAGCGGTTGAGAGAAAGCAAGTGCTGATTGCATGTGTGACTGTGTGTGCATGTGTGTGTGGGTGTGTGTGTGTGTGTGTGTGTGTGTGTGTGTGTGTGTGTGTGTGTGTGTGACGGTGTACATGTGCTCGAACCTTGCAACGGTGGCTCAAAGGATGAGGCCGTGGGTAAGTAAGCAGGTGGGAGCGTGTGGGTGCGTGTTTGTGCTCGCGTGTGCGAGCGTATGCCGGGGTTATTCACATTCCTATTTCCGATTCGATTCGATGCCAAAATCAAACAAGCAAACGAGTTTGAGCACATCAAAATCGCTGACGTTGCGCTACATGAAGGAATTTCACTGCCGTCATGTGTCGCAAACAGATGACGTGAACCCACCGACACACGAGAGCAGCGTGGACATTTGTGTGCGTTTCTGAAGAATGTGGATAAGCAATGGCATGGTGCTGCTGTCCTCACCTCGTCGTTGCTGGTGGTGGTGGATGTGGTCTGGTCACGTCGGTCATGTCATGGGTGCTCTTGATGTCCTGTCGTGGATCTTGAGTTTGAGGCGGAAACGATCGTAAGATCGCACGAGCATTCCACCTCAGATGGGCCAAACACGCCACACTCACGCCACCCTAGCATGCTGCTGCTGCTGCTGCTGCTGCTGCTGCTGCTGCTGCTGCTGCTGCCATGGCTCCACGCTCAGCTCTCGTGCTGGCTCCCTGGTGCGCACGAACCGGCTATTCCATCCTGGGATGAGGCTGTGGAGTGGCATTAGGTAGTGGAGTGGCACTAGGTAGTAGCAACTGGCGGTGGAGGTGCGGCTGATGATGGCAGCAATTTGAGGGTTGACGCTGTCCACGCGCGCACACACGCATACAGCACGACGGCAAGGCATGCTGTACGGCAATCGAATGTTGGTGAAAGGGGGAGAGGGCCGTGAGCAGGTGCCTAGGTGCATTGATGGCGTGTGCGTATGTGTGTACATTAGTGTGTTGGTGAAAGCTTCAAGTGCCCGCTATCAACACATCAGGAAGACACCATGAAGACACAACACAAACTATCAATCAACCAGCCAGTCACTACAATACATGAACGTTGCCACATCGCCAGCATCCGCCACCAATAACGGCACGACTCACCTGGCATACACTGTGTAGGAAGGCGTGGTGGCCGTCTGCAGTGCACAAGACACCAACCAGCGTGATGACCGCGGTGACGACGGGGGAGGGGATTAATGCAGCATTCACGCCATGGCCCGGTCAGCGCAACATCAACGCATGACAGCGATTGCCAGTTGGTTGGAGGTGCTGTTCGGAAGTGGACTGAGTCACCATCATCACCTTCATCACCCTGACGATCGAACAAGCAAGCGTGTGAGGGCATGCACATGCGTGTGTGCGTGTGTGTGTGTGTGTGAGTGTGCGTGCCTCTGCACGTGCGTGCGTACTCTACTGGCGTTCTGTTTGGAAGAGGAACAGAGAGAACACATGCATGATGGCCCATTCACATTTCACACACACACACACACAAAACACTGACTTGCGTGGTTTCAGCGAGCTTCGAGGTCGCACCATTGACAAGAGGCCATGTCAGCCTGTGGCAGCCTCTGCACACGCTCTGTGTGGCAGTGCAAACGCGAGTAACGCCAGCAACACTGAAACAACCACTGGCATCGCAGTTGCAGAGGCAAGGGTGAGGCTAAATTGCCACAGCACCATGTCCCGTCAACAAACATGCTTGCAAGCATGCAAGCAAGCATAGCATCGTGTCGCCTGTTCATGCTGCATGGCTTTTGATTGTGGTAATCTCACGAAAACACCCATGCCGCCAACGGCTAACAGATCACACATCAAGCACATCTCCCGCAACCACCGACCAATCAGGGCTTCACGAGGGCCGCACCACACACACACACAACACGCAACACACACACGCACACACACACACACACACACAAGTCCACGCGCGCTCAGTAGAGCTTACCTGGAGAAGGCAGGCCTGGTTGGTTGGTTGCTGCATTCCTGCTCAATAGCCCGTGGTCTACTCTCAGCGACCGATTACACACGCACAATTCAAGACGGTGAGGCAGTGCACAGCACACGCTGCAAGCCGCTGCAGATGCGTTGTGGATACGTTAGGCAGTGTGTGAGGAGCGGAATTCAGACGGCACAGAGCAAAGGGTTGGAAGCAGAAACCCCCTTGCATCATCATCGCCAAACTGCGTGTACCAAAGACAAAACCAAAAACAAGCGCTTGCTTGCCTGCATGGAGGCACATGTGAAGGCGGGGCAGGACAACAACACAGCACAAGACACGCACACATCCTGTGTGCATATCGAGCCGTGCAAGCAAGCAAAACCGGAAAGCCACAAAGAACTCACCCCTATTTCTTCTTGGTGCTTGAAGACGTCGTCATCTCTGCCGTGTGCCCATGCTGCCCTGCCATGCAACTGCCATCGTGTACCGTGCCGTGTTGCAGGGGGGGGGGGGAGAAGCTAGATGAGATGTGAGGTCAACAGCAACCAGAGCTCATCATTGTCGTGGATGGATGATGTAAACACGGCTGACATGCACATGCATGAACGCACACACACACACACACACACACACACACCACTGAAGCGAAGCAGTGGTGAGCCGAGAGCGCATGACCATACGTGCAGGTGCGATGATGCGCAGTGAGCACACGACCGTTGCTACTCTTCAACTTGCGACCACCAGTATACTTGAGATCATCACTCATGAGCAGCACTCACTCTCTTCTCCACGGTTTCAGGATGTGTTCTCCTCTTCACTTCTGCTCATTCCAGTGCGCTTGCTGTGTGCTGAGGCCATCATCGTGTTGCCTTCCTCGTTCCCCATCTCTCCACACAAACACACACAAGCACGCACACGCGCACCAATCAAACCGTTGCTGTCATCAGCGTTGCTTTTTGTGCGTATGCTTGCAGGCACAAGTGAGAGAGAGGAAAAGCGAGAATGAAATCGGTTGGTTGGTGCATGCAGTTGGACTGAATTCAGTCCACACACACACTCGCCTCTTCCTTTCACCCTGCTCAAAAGTCGAGAACGTTGGCACTGGGACACTTCAGCTAGCAGCTGCAGCTTCCTTCTGTTTGTTGAAGCCGAGCGAGCGAGCAAGAAGCAAGCTGTGTCTCATGTCACTCAATACTTGCACTTTGTCTTGTCAGCTATGTTTTTGTGCGAGCCGCTATGTAGGTGTGTAGTAACTGCCGGAGGAGTGTGGATGACGGAAGCTAGATGAGATGTGAGGTCAACAGCAACCAGAGCTCATCATTGTCGTGGATGGATGATGTAAACACGGCTGACATGCACATGCATGAACGCACACACACACACACACACACACACACACCACTGAAGCGAAGCAGTGGTGAGCCGAGAGCGCATGACCATACGTGCAGGTGCGATGATGCGCAGTGAGCACACGACCGTTGCTACTCTTCAACTTGCGACCACCAGTATACTTGAGATCATCACTCATGAGCAGCACTCACTCTCTTCTCCACGGTTTCAGGATGTGTTCTCCTCTTCACTTCTGCTCATTCCAGTGCGCTTGCTGTGTGCTGAGGCCATCATCGTGTTGCCTTCCTCGTTCCCCATCTCTCCACACAAACACACACAAGCACGCACACGCGCACCAATCAAACCGTTGCTGTCATCAGCGTTGCTTTTTGTGCGTATGCTTGCAGGCACAAGTGAGAGAGAGGAAAAGCGAGAATGAAATCGGTTGGTTGGTGCATGCAGTTGGACTGAATTCAGTCCACACACACACTCGCCTCTTCCTTTCACCCTGCTCAAAAGTCGAGAACGTTACTTCAGCAAGGCAGCTGCAGCTTCCTTCTGTTTGTTGAAGCCGAGCGAGCGAACAAGAAGCAAGCTGTGTCTCATGTCACTCAATACTTGCACTTTGTCTTGTCAGCTATGTTTTTGTGCGAGCCGCTATGTAGGTGTGTAGTTGCGTTGCCTACACAAAGAAGGGGCAAACAAGCCAGCTGGCCTCTTGTGCACTTGCCGTCTGCGTCACATCACTTCTTCTGCAGTGCCTGGTTTGCCTTCGGTCCATCCAGCCCTCTTCCAGCAGCTGCAACAAGACAGCAGCACGTCAGCCCGTCCCGCCCCCTGCACTGCCCCTGCCCCCCCTCTGTTTCGTTTCGCTGCTAGCAGCTTCCTTTGAACTGTTGCCCATGTACCCCTTTCCTGGCCCCTCTCGCACAAGGGAGCAAGTGCGCTCTGCAGGTAACAGCACAATGCGTGACCACTCAAGCATTCATCTACTTCCATCAAGCCATCACACAGCAAGATCACCCCCAAGCAGCGACTTTGGTGCACAGGCATCATCTCCACTGCGTGCAGCACAGCAGTCCTAATCAATCAGGATGCCCTGTTTTCGCAGCTGACACCGGCAACGGACTGGCGCCAGAAGTGAACGCTTTCTGTCATTTTGACGATAAGAGAAGGATTTATTCCGCAAAGGGTAATGACGTCAGTCGGACATGCGTGTGTTTGCTTTCTCTCTCACCACACATCAACACACAATCAATTGCCTTGACAAGACAACAGGTCCGCGCGCAGACTCAGCGTCCACTGCTCTTATTCATCGAAGCACACCGCCTTCGACACGACCACAGCCATGCTGCGGAGATGTGACCAACAACAGCACGACATCGACAGCGACGCGGGGAGGGCAACGCACATGGATGAGGCAGTACAGGCAAGGAAATTGAACAACGCCACTCAAGCAACACCAGCACCATCAGCACGAGCTGTCGACAATCAGCCTCCATCACAACAATAACAGCAGTCGACACAGCCGTCTTCGTTGTCACCGTTTCCATCACGCTCGACACGTACAGCTCAGCTCGGGCGCACAATTCAGCCACAACCATGCTCACTAGCCAATCCAGGTGCAGCAGTGTGTGCGCCAACCACAGCCTCGACAGACGCGAACCCTGTCCCCTTCGTGCCATCGGCAATCAGCGCCAAGCCACAGCACCCAAGGTCAAGTGTACCCTCGAAGCAACAACATCTGTTGGCAGCATTCCTGGCAGCAGCAGCACCATCTCAGCAACAACAGCAACAACACCCACCAATGCAGTTGCATCAGAACCAAGCATTTCTCACCCCAACCGCTTCAGCAGCTACAGCGACGACAATGGGCGTGCATGCACTTGCACACCAACCAACCCATGTGCGCTTCTCTCCACCGCCACAGAACAGCACTGTGTACCGCGACCGTCCTGTCGATATCAACCATGCACGTTGGCTCGCAAAAGACGCCTCGACAACAGCAGCAACAACAGCTACTGAGTGAAACACAGCAAGTGTCGACAAACCAGCACAAGCAAGGCCTGCCCGTTTGTCGACCGGCAGTGATAGCAGCAGAGAAGATTGCAGTTGGCTGAGACCATGACACCAGGCGAGCCGGCGGAGCACCGCCATGAATTCCACCACCACCACAACGGCCGCGAAGTGGAAGACGATGCTGTGGTCGCTCCATCATCACCACACTGTGGTGGACTGATGCCCGGTACTCGCGACCTGCATGAGCAGGACACAGACAAGAAGCCGAGCCCCGCGCATGCAACTGCTCAACTTACACACGCATCACAGCAGCAGCAACATCAATGGCTGCAGCAGCAACAACAGCATGAACCAGTACAACAGCAGCAGGAGGATGAGATGCAGAAGGGTGGTGGTAGAGGCGGCAAGCTGCGTGGCTCAAACACCCCCTCCAAACTACACTCACAAGGAAGCTGTCCCAAACAAGGCCAGGAAGCAACCACGTGTCAGCAGACCCGCAAAGTCAAACAAGCCAACTGCTATTCGCAGGGAGGACCCAGCCATACGACAGCAGATCCTCAAATACCGAGAACGCCAGAACCAGCAGCAGCAACAACAAGAACCACAACGGGCTCAACAGCAACGCGCAGGCAAGCACCGGGCAACGCGTGAGGCAACTGTCAATCGCCAACAGAACCCCGCAAAGAGAAAGCAGCAAGTCGGCAAGGAAGCGAATCCGGCGTTGCCCCAGGAAACAAGGATCCATTCGACAACAAGCGCTCAGGCGCACCAACAGCAGCAACAATTGCAGCAGCACGAAAAGAAGAGTAACATGCAGCAGCAGGAAGCAGCGGCAGCGGCAGCAGCCTTGTGGCGAAAGTGGCGGTGATGGTGATGGCAGCCATTCGGGTACTGCGGGTGTGTGTGTGGGGTGCTATACGAGGCACAATCATTCGAGATCACACCACAGACGACGATGAAGCTACTTGTGTGATGATGATGATGATGGTTGATGAGAGTCCGAGAGAGTCACGGTCGCTGTGGTGAGGAGAGTCAGACGTGTGATGACTTGTGGGATGGACGCGCTTCAGTCTTGCCCTCGTGTGCCCATGTTCGTGCGCACCAGAATTGGGCATTGTCAGATGTTTGTTCAAGAGTTCAAGTGACAGTGCGGTGACAGCAATATGTCACACAACGAGTAAAGGCACGTGGAATTCACAACAGTGGTGAACCACATCACGTTGCATATTGTGTTGTCCTCAGAGCTACACGACATGCTCCTATTTCAACTCCGTCTCTGCTTGTATGCTGTGGTACCCAGTGCCTGGGAACTGTTTCCACATTGACCGTCTCCCAAAACACAACCGCTCATCTCAAGCCCTTCTGCTTCCATCACACGAGTTCAGAGTACCGTGCCCTCACAACCGCTCATCTCAAGCCCTTCTGCTCCCATCCCACGAGTTCAGAGTACCGTGCCCTCAAAACCGATTCACAGTGCATACCATTTTACCACAGGTCATGCGCAGCGGAGGGTCTCACACGCACGCTCACAGGG